CCGTTGTTCAATTTTGTCTACGTGCCCAAGTTTGCCTCAGTTGGCAAGCCGAAGAGCCAGACAATGCGCAGAACTCACTGGATAAAAAGAATTTGCAGGGCTAAGACAACCTGTTCATGGTGAAGCGATGTAATCGAGCCCTGAAAATCCTGTATATATTAAGAAGCCCATTTTATATGCGAGATTATCTTAGATCCTCCCCTTTTTCTGACAACTAGGCTTTGATAAGACGAAGAATAGTTTTGAGGTTCAATTGAGCTCGTCACGGCCACGACAACCATGGGCAGTGTGTATAAATACCCTCTTCACCACCACTCTTGCCCTCACTTGGACTGAGACATTCCAAGTTTACCTAGATCCTCTCACTTGCGAGAATTTCCTCATGAACACCCAAGAACCCCCCCTCCCCCCCTTTCTGCTTCTGAATCCCCTTCTCCTCCCGTACAGTGCAGTATAGAGATATATCTCCCTATTCGTATCTTAACAGGTGGACGGCTATTCCTACCAGGAAGCAACCTCAACCAAAACAGCACTATTGCCCTGACTACTTCTGATTTCCAAAAAAAAAAAAAACTCAGTGACTACCTTCGGGGTTACTAGTTTATCACTTTTTCGTTCTCAGTCCTATTACTCAACCCAATAAAATAATTATTGCTAGATTTTAATGATATAATTGTAATAAATATTCATGGATGCAGCCGTAAACGGAATTAAAGTCCGTTCCGCCTCGTTCTTGCCCTGACCTGGACCCTCTCGCTCTTGCCCTCATAGACATATACGATACCTTGGTATTCCCATTTTCTGTTTCTCTCTTCTCTCCTCCTCATTATAATCCTCATAATCCTCATCCCCATTCTCCGAACGAACGAATCCATTCCTATTCCAGTTTTAAGTTACGAGACTTGCTTAATCAACCCTGGCTTCACCATCCCCGCATGAGAAATATATCGCTTAGCGATGCTCAAAAGTTGAAACCTTACGATCACCTATTCAAGCAAGGAAATCGCTAGGCAGATTTCGAAGAATTACAGTCACTCAAAAAATAAAACGTATAGGACACTCGAATAACTCCAGGACAGTCGTTCCAGTCAAGTAACAAAATACCTTCCGCAACCCAACAATTGGAAGTACGCATGCTGTCTGAAAGCCACGAACGCCATCGGATCAACAGTTTCAACTTCTCAACTGCGAACTGATGGCTTTGGGGGTTTCAAGAAACCTTGGAATCTTGTCAAAGCTTCTCTTTCACCAACGCCCCCCTTTGAGAGCACTAAGTGCCAACCTAACGGATGCTGGAACACGAGAAGCCAAAAGCTCACGGTCATCGCAGAGGTTGCAATTTCGATGGTCCGCAACCCAAGTAAAACACGATATACGACATTGGCTCGAGTACCCGGCGTCTTATAAGCAGGCTTATTTGAGGCAACTCTTCGCGACCAGCACGAAGAATCATTCCTCGCAGACTACATTGTCGAGATCTTGGCTTGCAGTCCCAAGGAATAAGATCTGCATCATGTCGGATGACTAAGATTGGGTGTATGGTTTCATGAAGGATTCTTCAATCTCGGAAGCTGAAGTGACACGGAGATGGAGGGCGATATTCACGCCGCTTCAAGATCCTTTGACTTGTCGAGCTTGGAGCAAAAGGGCCTGCCATTTCGCCGGCCATCATGTTATTTGGTGGTGGCTTTGCTCGAGACCGATAAGTCCGAATGTTCGCTGGCTTTTCCAATCTGCCTTACCGATACACTTATCTCGACAAGTGGAAAGCCTTTCGGTGCGGTGCATGCCGCGGCAACAAGTGGTGTGTTAGACCTGAGGACGATGTATAAAAGACCTCACGATCGAGGGTTCCGGCTTAGAATACTACTACACGTAGCAGGATGGCCCTATCATCACGAGTGCTATTGACGTCTAATAAATTGGCGAATGGAAGAGAAATTGGCGTTGTATTATTCATATTCTCTTGATTTTAATTTTCCTTCGAGCTCTATCGCTTGACGATTTTGCTTAATATAACACTTATTGCTAATGATTCTAGTTTACTTTGTAAGTATAGATGATATGCCAAGCAATATTGACACCTGATATCTCAGGCGATGAGACTGCCAGGGTTACCCCAAGTGGGGAATGGACCCTCCCTCATCTTATCTTATACTCTTTTCTTTCCTTCCTACAATCGGGTCAATTCCATTGTGATTACCTAGGTGCACACCAAACACTCCCACCCCACCATGTCTCTCCTTTAATCCCCTCTTTCCCGGGGCTTTCGCTTTCTTGCTGGGTCCGCGATGCCGCCAGATCGAGGGCGCGCCTCTCGAGCGTGTGCCTCATGCAGAAAGCAGAAGACTCGTTGCTATGAACCTGGTGTTCCAGGAAAAGCCTGTCTCAGATGTGAACGTCTTCGTCAGAACTGCTCGCTGGTAGAGATTGAGGACCGTGAGACTGATCCGATAGCTCCGCCTTCTGGTACCGATGTGCGGTATGAATTACATTCTTCCCTAGTCCTAGCAGTGAAGTCTACCAAAAGACTCAGACTGACAAAATGACCAGACTTGAACGCCTGGAGAGAACAGTAGCAACCCTCCTGGATAGACTGGGGGAGGGTCCTGCCAGCATTGGCAATGACTCAAACACGCCGGCCAGCGCACTGACGAGCTCGGAAGCGGGTGACCCAACCCCAGCGGCCTTTAAGGAGACGGAATCTTCCGCCGCTCCGATCATGGTCATACGCGATCTGGCCACTGACCCAGGCCTGGAGCCGTCGCCTGACACCAAATCTCTGGGATCAGTGCTAGACGACCTCATTACCCCCGATCTGGCCCTTACCCTAATTTCAATGTATGTATGGCTGCATTCTTGGCACCCGCCTTGGAAAATTGGACTTGGAGCGCATGGTCTTTTGGCAGGTAGACTAACTCCCCCCTCGCAGTTTTCTCGAACATTATGGCGACTGGATTATGTGGGATCCAGAGTCCGACCCGGTGCCTCTTCTCCCTCGTGTGAGAAACTCACCGCTGCTTTTTTGCGCCTGCTGTCTCATAGCCGTGCGGTATACATCGGAAGAACTCGCCGCCAGTCTCGCCCCGAAACTATACGAATGTGCCCGCTCGCTGGTCTCGAGTACCCTTCTAGTGGCGCCCCAATCCCTCGAATTTTTTCAAGCCGCTCTAATTCTCTGCATGTGGTCGACCACCGTGGGACAGGTGCCCTTAAGTATCGATACATGGCTCCTTAGTGGATTTGCCCTCCAGCATTCTCAATCCAACCCGCTTTTTGCGGAGATCACGGCTCAATCACCGCCGTCTACTCGATTAGACGAGAAGACGGCTAGTCTTGGTTGTCTATGGAATCATTTGTGCTTGGCACACTTGCATTATTGCGTTGGTACCAGTCGTCGATCGATGCTGCGGTCCTGGCACATCGAACGGACACGCTTGATTCTGGACTCAGATCACGCGACCAATTTTGAAGTTCGCATGGTCGCGGAGATTCATCTCTACTGGACTTTATACCGGCATCTTATCGAGGCCCCGACCGACCTGTTAAAATCAGTGGCGGATCTACAAACTTGGAAAAAGGAGTGGGAATTTCTCCTCGGTAAAGATTCCCCCCTTCACAACCTCCCTTAATCCCGAACACGCTGACACATTTATTTCGCAGAACAACCAAGATCACAATTCCTTTCAATGGGCTTCCACTTCTCAAATCTAATTCTCTACGAACATGCTCTGAAATCGAAATCCGCTCGGGGCCGAGACTCGGTCGTTTCGGAGATGATTCGCCACTCAACCGCCATCCTCCACCTGCCCATGGACGCGGTCGATCAACACACCCGCCATTTGAGCGACCATATCTATCACATGATCACATTCGCGGCAATTGTGATCTGCCGTCTGCTCAGTAGCTACGAAACACAGCTAGCGGCTACGTATGCCATCGCCGAGCTGGACACTTTGATCTGCAATCTTGTCCAGTGGCTGCACGGAATCGGTCTCCCTTGTCACGCGGCGTATACCCTGGCCAATATTATTGCGAAGGTACATCAAAAGCTCCGACCTCGAGTTGTGGAGGCATTGCCTATTGCTGTACCCGTGGATGACTTTCCAGAGGACAGTTTTACGAATTATTATTTCCCGGAGTTTTTGGGGTTGGGCGCTTCGGCGGGTGGTAATTGGGATTTACTTTCTGATTTGAATTTCTTTCCGAGGAGTCCGGATAACTCTTGATTTGGATATCTGGAAGTAATTCGGAGCAGCATTCGTGTGACGTACAGGATGAAATCGACTGGAACAATCGTTATCACGGAAACGACACTCAATGATGCCCTGAGCCGTTTCAATTTCACCGACACAGGCTATGTAACAGAGCGGCCTCATAAAACTTCCCTATGTCGACAACGTTGTCATCACCGGCAATGGCTAAGAGTTCTTTCTTCGATCCATATTTGCGGATTTTATGCCGAGGCCACGGAAAAGGGGGGTTCGAACCCCTACGCAAATACGATGTTATAATTACATCCAAGACTGCGGATTTCATTTCGACTCTTCACCGCTGATTCAAGCCACCAACGGGCATTTGCAAATACGGCGAATCTTGATCTATACCGTGGAGCAACGCCGTTTACATCACAGGCGAGAAGAAATGCCGTATTCGTAGATAATGCGTTGGTGTCGAAGTTGCTCAAAGCCCTCGCAGTCCAATTCAAGGTCAAAGGCACGAAGTATCATGATGTGCTAGAATTGGCCAGATTCGAGCAATCTCGGTATTCGCTGACAGGTCGTAGTCGGCGAATTGACCAATTCAGATGAAGTAAATGTTATGTTATGTCCAATTTATTTGTCTTCTCAACCTTGGAATCCATCATTAAATATAGTACAAGTACATTCCAACAAAGTCAACGCCGAAGAGCAATCTAATATGCCCATATAAATGCAAGTAAATTATTACTGATCCCAGGTAACACCCTCCGAGTTCTCCAACAAGAGAGCCGACAGAATTTATATGCTTTCTTCCTTGCCCTTCACTGGCAGATTCTTTTTCGACTCAACCTTTTGCACCTCCCCCTCACTGGCAGTGGCATCCCGTCCATCCTCAAGTCCACCCTCAAGCCCACCTGCATCTGCGTCTAAAATCCCTTCCTCCCCAGACCCATCTTCAGCCTCTGCATTCTCCCCCTCCAAACCCCGATACTTCCTCCTAGCCTTCTTAATCTTACTAGCCTTCTTCTTCCTCGCCGCATCGGCCTTGATAGAAATTCGACTCGGAGCCTGGTCCCCCTTTAGGTGAGCCTCAACACGATCCGCCAACAACGACCGCGCAATATTATTATTCTGAGACTGGGAGCGCGTCGCTTGACATTTTATCACAATGCCGGATGGCTTGTGGCTGATTTGCACGGCGGAATTGGTTTTGTTCTGGCGGAGTTAGTTTCGTTGATACATCCACACTCTGTCCATTTATGTATCTTTCCTAGAGAACCCGGTTCAGGGTAATTGACGGATGGATTAGGAGTGCTTACGATCTTCTGCCCGCCTGGTCCGGTGCCTTTTAGGTAGGATATTGATAAGTCTTCGTCTTTGAGTTGGAGGCGTGGGGGTAGTGGCTTTTTGCCGAGGATTGAGTGGGATTGGGTGAATGGGCGGTGTTGTTGGAGGGATGGTTGTGTGAGTGGGAGCCTTATGGCTCGTGGTATTGAGCGGAATTGTGACATTTTTGGGAGATTGGGGATGATTGGAATGATGTTGGAACTAATTGGATGAGATGGCTGTTACTTTCTGGGGATGCCGATAAGATTGAGAGGCAGAATGGGATTGGGTAGGCGGTGGGTCCATAATACATTATGTATGCGAAGGGCAACGGGCAACGGGCAACGGGACATAGCCAAATTATGGTTAACTGGTTGCTGATTACTGGTTTAATAAATTAGGTGAGTTGTCTTATGATAATCGGAGTCAAGGGTTATTTGTAAGATTGTATATTGGGTATCAAAGTCTATATAGATTGTGTTGGTACAATGCTTCATCTATCTGAAGCAGGCATTGACAAAGAAAATGTTTCTCAAAAATGAATGGTGTATACAGGGCTATATGCTGTACATCAGCCCAGAGATTCGCCAAGGTGCGCCTCGGCAATAGATGGTGAGTTCTTCTGGGCCCCGGAGTCGTGGACGATATGGGTTTCTTTGGCGACCTCTTTCGCGACAGGTTGCTCTACCTCCTTGACGGCCTTCGGCTCCTGCACCTTGCGGGTTGAAGCGTACTTCAGGAAGATGATCGCCATGACTGGAAATGAAGTTAGAATCATAGTAGACTATAGGTACGGGTGGGGATTGAGGGGGAACTCACAAGCACAGGTGGCAACAGTCAACGCGGCGCGTCTTGTCAGAATCCACCGAAGTCCCTCAGCTTCACTCTTGCCGTCACTGTTGAGAGACACGGTGATCTTGTAGTTCAATTCTTGAACCGAAGTATCAATCATCCGCTGTTGTTCGCGCGTAGACATCTTGTGGTCATTGAACATGCCTTTGATCTCATCCTTCATGCCGGAAAGTTCCTGGGTAAGCCGCTGGGACAGAATGTCGATTTCGTGCTCTAGCTGGCCCCTCGACGCGCGCGAGTGTTGGACCTCGGAGTTTCGGGCGGTCTGAAGCGACTGCTGAAGTTCTGAGCAAGCTGCCTTGAAAAGGTAGGACTCGTTCTCTACGTCGGACTTGGAGGTCAGGCTTTGCTTTGCGAAATCGAGGTTATTTTGTAAGATGCTTCGGACAGCCTTCATAATCGTGATTGACTGCTCATTGGTGTAACCGCCTTTGTGAAGATCGAGGACTAAAGAGTAGGTATCGAAATGGTGGACGTAAGGCGCGGGACTCAGGTGTGGGGGTTTCTTGCCGGAGGAAATCGGTTCCCCGGATGGGGTGAGATATGTTGATGGAGAGGGCATATGGTACACTTCTTCGAAGGCGCTTTGATTCGCGTAGGGGGGGCATTTGCGACATTTCTTCGCCGACATCTTTAGAAGAGGACTTAGAGGAAGAATGTGGGTTTTCCGGGCTTTCATCTTCAACTTGTTCCTCCTCGATTTCGGGCTCGATAGAGGCCTCTGTCGTGGTCGGTTCGGCGGCAGATTGGTCCGTAGTATCTACAACCGGGGAATCCGTAGATTCAGAGGCAGAAGCAGCGTCAATGGCATCGTGTGTTTCCGTGGAGGAATCCGGGGTGGAGCCTGGGGTTGTGGTTCGGATTCGGATTCGGGTTCGGGTTCGGACTGCGACTGCGATGACTCTGGCGGGGAACTGTTCGACCCAGTGGTGTTTGTTTCCACCTGTGCCTCTCCCGTACCGTCCGCGACCTGGTCTGATGTGTTTTCAGCGGGCTTGGAGGAGTCGGGACGCATGCTCGGTTCAACGGCTGGACCATATCGTCGCTGGTAGGCCTGCTGGTGGCGTACCCGACTGGCGTGAAAGGTGCGGGAACGTGCAAATTGAAGTGATCGGTAGGTCCTTGGTTGGCATGACCGGACAGCCCGCATCAGACTCGGGTAGAGGAAGGGGAGTCGAGGGGTCGCCATGGTTGGAGGTGTTGAAAGGACAAAAGTTTCCCGACGGCCAACTTCCAGTGACGTTTTGGTTCCCCACGGCCACGCTGAGTCATCCCATGCAAACGAGACGCCACCAAGATTATAGCCGAGCAGATAGTAGTTTCTATCGTAGAGGGCCAGTGAATCAGTGGCTTAATTAATTGACAGATTTAGTAGCTAGCTTAAGTTACCAGATACCTCACATATGAGTGTGTACTAGTCAATTTCCGCTGTCATCGCCCATTTGGGGTCACTTGATTGGCCGAGAAAGAGTATACAACAATGTACATTACCAGGCACCGAGAACCAGAAGATAAAAACTAAAAATACTTTCAATTGATGGCAAGTTCTGCATCTATGGTAATCATAATATCTTTCCGAGTAGGAGATCCCAAACTATTTTGAGATTTTATTCAGCTTGCCCTGGATTTCCAGGACCACCTGACCGATCCCCTCCATACCGTCCAACGCATCCTGGAGTATGGTATCCGTAATAGATATCACCTCGGTGATAGGGCTGTCATGTATTCTCGCCTCCAGTCTTGACAAAACATGCTGCTCCGAATTGTTTCTGAAGGACTTTTCAGCTGCCCATAAGTCGCCCCTGAGAATGTCCAATGCCTCCAATTCGGTTGCTCGTAGCTCCTTATTTTTGAACAAGGAGCGAAGGCTATCTCTCATAGTACCAAGCATCGTTTTCACCAGGTCCTCTTCAACCAGGAATTCATACCCACGGGTGAACATTAGATATCGGAATCCAACATGGTAGGATTTGGGGATAAGAGGTTCCCCTCGTTTTATTGCACTCAAAAGCGATTGGCAATAATCATACAAGACAAGGTTGGATTTTCCGTGGATGCTCTTGGTGGATTTGCGTTTTTCATCAAAAATCTTCTTGGTTCGTCTCCATCGCCTTTGGAGAAACGAGACGCTGTTTGTCTCAGCCGGCGAGTATTCATCGGAATGCGAGGACTCGATGAACAGCGACCGAGCGGCAGAAGAATCTTGGTCATCTTGTTCAAATTGACCTTGTCGTTGATTTTTCAAGCACTCGCTAACCCTCAAGACTGGTGCCGAAGCGTCGACGAATCCTTGCAGGTATGTTGGGGCGGTACCTTTGTCGTTCAATGTGACAACTCGGAGGGTATTTTTCCCGGCATAGCATGAATACGGAGTCTTCACGCCTTCACGCAGCTTGGCTGGAGATTCTATCGTGTGGGAGGCCCAGTTGGGTGGGGCTACTAGTGCTAGGGTCTGTGATATTCCAAGGTTGTTGTTAGCATTCGAAATCTCATGGTTGATGGGATCATGAAATTCGAAGGGAGATATACATACCTTTGAGATCCGCGCTGATAAAGAATCTATTCCACGTGGTCGAGAAGGGTAGTGGGATAAATTAAGCAGCACCGTGAGCAGCAGGTCGAAAATTCGTCGTTTCGGGACAGCTGGAGACCTGAAGGTTTGTCGGCCCTTGATTTGTAATGGCAATTGGGTCGACCGACTTTCATTCTCAAGCCTCTCGAAAAGAATGCAGAATGAGATAATGATATCTCGGAGAGGCAGAATGCATTCCATTCTGTCCCTATCTCGTGGTTCCGCATCGCTCAACTCGAGTGGAGATCTGATGATATCAGGCAAATGTAGGAAGGCCCAGGAGGATGGCAAGACAACAGCATTGCCCGGGTTCATTGCACACAGAAAAGCCGTGACTCCAAACTCAATGACGGAAATAATAGGGTGAAACGTTGACAAGAACAATATGTTGGTGCTTCTTGCGGCACCGAGAAAGTCATGAAGGGCACGCGCCTGTTAAGAAGGTAATCAGTAGTGTACAAGTTAGTAAATGGTTTGATTCGAGAAGAAATACCAGCTCTGTTCGTTCCAAGTTTTGGCGTGCTCTTGGAGCTGCTCGGCGCACTCTCTCCAGGGCTCGAAGGGCCTCTTTAGTCGCAATCAATGCGTGATTAGAGGACAGCTGACGGCTTAGTTGAATGGAAGTTAACTTTCTCATAAGCGTCCGCGCAAATATTGTCGTTGCCCCCGGCCCAAGGGAGAAAGCAATCTGAATCTGTTCCAAAATACCAGTGAGGGTATGAATGTCGTACCAGTGCTTCTTCATTCGATAAAGAAGTGCGTCTTCCAAACAAGCTGCGAGGCAATGGTGATCTGCTCGTTGAAGTAGATACCGGGTATCCATGATAACTTCGCCGGATTGTTCCAGGGGCGTCACAAAATTCATCTTATCTTCAAGCTGCTGTAGCCAATACCTTCTGCGGCCTAGAAACTGTTTCTGAAAGGAATCCGCCATGACTTTGCGCTGATATATCCTGGTCATTTCGGCGTAGAAGCTCGAAATTATAACCAGCGACGCCAAATTTTGTCGGCATTTTTCAGAGTTCGGTCGCTCATGAAGCTGCCTGCAATCCCCTGTTCGATTCTTCATACACAATCCCCGTAGCAAAAAAGGTGTACAATGCCTGGGAAATTCCTGCGCATTTAGCTCTCTGGTAGACTTATCGAAGAGATCCATGGCGTGAGCAAACATGTCCCGAGCCCACGTTATAGCCCGCAGGGCAATTGCATCGTCTGTGTCATCGGAATCAAACTCGGAGACTGGCGAGCAATAACTTGCCCAGTATTGCTTAAGAGGCCCCTTTTCGTGTCTACCGAGGGTGTATATCCCACAAGCAAGGTAGAGTGGTGCCACCTCTGAATTTTTAATTTTCAGCTTTTGAGTTGAAGTTTGGGCTCGGTTCTGATATGAGCTCCAGAGTGAGCCCCTTGCTTGATGCTGAGTAGGACTTTGGACTGAAATCTGGGTTAGATTCCCTGCTTGGCTCCCGGCTTCATTCATTGTGTGATTCCGAGTGAGATTCTGGGGTGAGCTGTGGCTTAGATGTAGGGTTAATTCCCCGATCAAATGCCCACATCTTAGAAGCATCTCTCTGGGGAGGTACCTAGTCGTAGATACTCCCAGATGCCTTTGGAAACAGAACGCAACCAAAGCAAGATAACCATAATTGCACAAAATGGCATCAGCCGGCAGTCGCATCCACTCAAAGGCTTTGGGATCTCCGAGATCTTCCATCGTGACATCCAACATGTCAAAGACAATTTTCCACCCGGAGAAGTGATCCTTGATCCAGATAACATCGTGAAAGTCCTCGGAAATTTGTTTCGCTTTGTCGAAAAATCCAACTTCGAGAACGCCTTTCCTGGACCACATACTTGACACTATGGCATAGTTCAAGACTTGTTTAAAGGTTTCTGGCTCGACTTCGCTGACCAAGTTGTGCTCTTTCACAGTTTCCACTGCTTCTAGCACGTTTCCGTATTCGACATGTGTCTCATATAGTTGGATCCAGTTTTCATTCGCGGCGTAGTACGAACAAAGATCATCCATCAAGTCAAACTCGATGAAGAAGTTGACCTTTTCGGCTTCGGATCCAAGAAGATTGATAGTCGCAACTCTCAAGTGGGAAGAAATTCGTCCCTGTTTCAGCAGAATATTGCATAGGCGTGAGTACCGTTGTCGGATATTGGCATCGAGCTTGTCGGGATTCCTATGAAAAAGACAAATCAGCATTTGGTTTGACTAATAGAGAAATTTGATCGAGGCATACCGGCCAAGGTAGATGATAAGATCGTCGAACTGATCTCCTCTTTGAAGGACTTCAACAGCCTTCTCAAAATCTCCATCAGCGTCGTAGCATTCCGATGAAGCTTGGAAGAACAGCCCTAGCTCGTAAAGCTTGGCCGCCCTCTGAAGCTGGCCCTGGTTCTTCCAAATCTCTAGAAAGAGGTTAGAAGTGGTTGCAACGATTTCTTTCATTCCAAAGGAACTGACCGGCAGCCTTTTCATGTTTGCCAATTTGCTCGTAGCATTCCGCAGCATCTTCCAGCATATTTATTCCAAGGAATAGCTCGATTGCTTTCTCAAAGTATCTTGTTGATCCATCGATGTCTGAGAATTTTCGACTTCTACCCTCTCGACGGCAATCGAATGCCTCTGCACGCTCAGCGCCTTCGGAATCGCCGGCCTTGATATAGCAGAAAATAGCCTTGGATCATTCATCAGCTCCTACTCAAACAGTTTAATCATGAAACTCGGAAATATTTGAGTATACTGACCGCTTGGTAGTTCATCTGGTGGAAAAGCTGTGTTGCTCGCTTCTTCCACTGCGTGGGATCGACGGAACCGCCTGCTCGAAGAGCCTTTAGCTTTTCTGTAGACTAAAAACCAAATTAGCCAAGTCATATTAGAATAAGCAAGGACAATCATACTTGCTCGTCTTTCTTCCTTGCAACGTCAACGAGCGCTAGGCTGTTGTTCTCAGTGAGTGCTTTGACTATTGAATCCAAGGCACTTTCGCTGGTTTCCATGAACCATAACTGCTTCCGTGCCCGGGTCACTGCGACGTAGAGTTGCTAGAAGAGATGTTAGACCGTCCACTTCCATGAAAGAATATCTATATCTCCAGGAGGCTTCTCACTTTTAACTCTGCGCACAAGGCCTATTCAAGCTCGGTCAGTATTTTGAAACAAAACGTGGGAAATTCGAATGATGCACCCACCGCATGCTTCCTCGAATCAAATTCGCCGCGCGGCTCTTGCGCCAGCAAATGTAGACATCGATAGCTGCTTCCAAGACCACTACCCCCGAAGAAGTCGTAGATGAGGACATCGTCGAATTCCATTCCTTTGCTCTGAAGAACTGTGAGAACCAAAGCCACCTCGCCGATTTCATTTTGTAATTTGACTTTCGAATCATCGTCTCGCACAAGGATTACTTGTTCAGCTCCAAAGTTCGCTACTTTGTCGTTCATTTTCGTCACACCGATCATTTTCGACGAGAGAACAGAGCAATCAAATCCAGCTGAAAGGGATCAGTTTTGAGTTATTTGACGTTTACTTCTGGGAGCCCACTTACCAAAAATGATGGGTACTGGGCCATCGATCTGGCCAACCTCAGGATTCAATTTGTCGATGGTTTCGGGGAATCCTGAAAGCCAATGTCAGCCCCGAAGGCATAATAGATCATTTCAAGTTATGACTTCTCATGACTTACCACTCCAAAGCACTTGCATGACCCACGACGCGAAGCTCAGAATGCCCTGGTGGGAACGGTAGTTTCTTGCCAGCATAAACTGGCTCGGCTTGGCAACGTTCTGTTTCAAGAAGGCCGCAGTAGACTTATGTTCGTCAAAGAAGGCAGCTCTGACTTCGGGGAAGCGGAACACCGAATCTTTCGAAATGCACTGCGCAGTATCGCCCGCTGGATATATTTTGTTAGCGTAACCATTTCCAAGTTAATTCACGAACCCAAGTTGTTACCTAAATGGATCCCACGAGCATTGAACACGGCTTTGAAAAGCAGAACGATATCGACACATCTTAGATCTTGGATCTCTAGATAAAACATGTCAGCCGTCACGAAGTAAAAAGTGAGAGGGTGAACTCACCATCGACGTAAATCTCTTCGAAACAACGACGTAACTGAGATGCGAAATTCACGTCCTCCGCGATGTATTTCAGCAAATCCATGACCCGGTCCAAATCATCAATTTGAACGCGCTGCTTTTTCAGCCTCTCATACCGCTCATAGACATCAAAGGCCTTTTCGCGATCTGCCACGCCTGGAAAAGCAGGCGATACCTTCGATCCCTTGGGCACATATTCGTCACGGGAAAGTGCACGCAGGCTTTGAGCACAGATTCTTGACCCCCGGATGACTCCCATGATTTCTGCAAAAAGGAGTTCCGGCGGGCATCCTTGGGGGGCAAATGCGGAAAGGCAGCCCCAGTACTCGTACTTGAAAATATGAAAATCAATGACTGGGGCTGCTTTCAAGTTAACTTTTTGCTCGGATTTGCCTTTCGATCTTGCACGGTTTCCTTCATTGAACTTTTGTCGGTCGGCATTTCTATCCATGGTCAGCATAATGTAATGCATGGAATTGGATCGGATTTGAACATCAGAATGAATGACTCCGAATGAGGACACCTACTGCATGCTCTTCTCCAACATCCCAAGAAATTTGTCGAACGTGCAGACAAACGGGAAGTTCACATCTTGTAACTTCAAGATTTCATCTGGCTCCTCGTCCGGTGGTATCCAGGGACTGGAGATACCCAACGCAGTGTCAATCAGATTTCTTGCGTAAAGCTTGAGTTTTGCGGCCAGATGAGGAGACCGGGTGAGCAGGAGCTATGATAATTAGTAAAATAAACCCTTTTGGTTTGAATGACTGACTGACCTGTTTCATTCTGTTCGAATGTGGAATGGCTTCTCGAGCTTGATGTTTACCAAGAAGCTGAAAAAGAAGACATGTTGTCTTGCCAGTACCACTTCGTCCCAGTATCAAACTTGATGTTTTGGAATGGTTGACGATTGCAATCTCTTCCTGTGACAGGTCGAATGGGAACTCCTCGTAACCCTTTGTATTTGAAAGAGCCTTGAGAAACGAGTCCGTGACATTGGTAAATTTTCCTGGCGTGAGAAATGTAAATTAGTCCGGGCTTTGCGAGCGAGGCCAATTCCCCTCACCTAGCAGGTCGACCAAGACTTGACTTTTATTAGCCGCCTTTTTGGGTTGACTCGTAGAGTTATAAACTGGCAAAATCTCCCAGCGCTGAGGGACGTAGCTCCCGTCGGGGAGCTTGGTTGGGGCCTGTTTGCAGACATCCACGGTGTCTTCAGTGAAATACTGCTGCAGGTCGATTATGCGGTCGACCGCCGGAAGAAGCTACGGTTCACGATAAGTATGTGTAAAATTTGAATGTGTGAGAATGAGACATACCTGTTCGCGGTTGACCATGTCCCAAACTTTGATGATTTGGCCAAATTGCTTTCGTGCCGTCAACTCATCATAGTAACCGACATCGACCTGCCATAAGATGAAGATACCTCCAGGAAGAGGGCTATAGCGAAGGGGGATCACGGGCATCGAATCTACCTTCGATCCATGAGGTACTTGCCGGGTTCGCTTTTTCCAGCCTCGCCCTTGAGCTAGCTCTCGGAGATTGTATTCCACCTGTGGGAATTTTCCCTCTTCGATGAGCTTTTTGATTTTCTCCATCGCCATGTCGGAAAGGAGAACTTTCCAGGCCCCGACACGCTCGCCGTAGAGATTGATCTGCTCCGCAGTCGTGGCAATTGGGTAAACGTTGGGATCATCTTCCATCGTAGGAAGGGGGGCGAAAACTCCTGCCAGTCTCTCCGAGCATAGTCGGCAAGGGAAACTATCCACCGCTGCGCTGATGAGCTGAGGTATCTTTTGTTGAATGTGTTCCTTGGTACTGGCTAAGCCATTCATCCCTCGGGGCATTGGGATATGCAGCTTCTCGAGACCTTCCTTGATAAATGAAGGGAACTCAAACTCCTTTCTCGCATGGGTTTGATTTGTCTTCTTTGCGTCTGGGTCGAGGGCTCTCATTTTGTTGAGGGGCATGATGTTCTCTTGTTTGAGAGTTGGATCTTTTTTTCGTAACCTGGACGGGTTTGGTGAACTCTTCGAGTTGATGAATCAATTCCTGAATGTTGCTCCATTCGGTAAATGAGTCGTTGATTCCATGGTCACCGGGACAGGCATTGCAAAGGTGGAGGGTTCTTTCGGCCAGGTTCTCCACTGCCGCCTGTCCAAGAAGCTGCTGGTGCTGTTTTGAAGTGACCCATCGCTGAATGACCTCGGCATACTTCTCACTGGCCAAAAGCTGTTCGAACATATTCTTCTTTTCCAAGAGCAACGTCAATACCTCCCGGAGGTAGACTGTGAGGTGGTTGGTGACGATGGGCAAGGCAGAACCTGCGAGTTCGATGCACTGAGTGAGTGAAAACGGGCCGTTTTGGATTCGAATGATAGGAGCTGCGATATTTTTGAAGATATCAACCGAGACTTGATAAGAGAGGTTTTTCTTGTCCAACTTGTCGAACACCTTGCAGAGACGCGCGATTATCTGGGCTGGCCGCAGTATCATACAATCATGCACAGACTGGTCCTTCATGAAAAGTGAGAGGTCGACATTCCGTTTTTCTAGCCTGGCGACGGCATGGTTTAAGAACTTTTGCTCGGGCTCTGTTTCCTGAAGGAGAAGGTTGTAAAAAGGACAATTTGTCAGAGCCATGGCGTGAAGTTGAGAGGTCGATGCCCCGCGCACGAACTGGCGAGTGTCGACGAGAAGGAGGCAATGAAACACGTAGATAGAACAAGGAGAGGTTGAGTTGCAATAAATTTGAGAGCTTTGAAATTTGAAAACAATCTCTTTGATGTGGTATGGGAATTGTGGTTGTGGTTGGAGGTTGGTGGTTGGAGGAGAATGGAAGAAGGCAGGCAAAAGGAAGGCAACAACACGGCAGCGGGTAAACAAAGACTGGTGTAAGAGATATCCTTAATTTCTATGGCTCCTATGAGAGTTGCTGGATTTCTATTTAGTATTCGAGTTTGCTTTTGTGATTATTTGGTACCTGGGTTGTCTCCACGTTGTAGTGCAACTCTTGCGAGCATAGTGCCGGGTAAGTGATACGTTTGATATCCAACCTTTGAGATTCTAGACCCTTTAAAATGATGAATTGAATGAATGTCTGGGCGCCAGTAGAGAATGAAGTCAGGGTGTATTGACTCGAAATTTCCGAGGTGATGGGCTGGACAACAAGTACTAGTATTTCAATGTGGAAAACTTGAAATTAAGGAATTCAGTTTTCTAGTTATTACCAGGTTTGAAGCATGCGATAATTGATAGGCAAAGAGCAAGGAGTCGAGACGAGAGGGAACAAAGAAATTATGCTTTAGTGTCACGCTAGTCTAACAGGAGAATAATGTAAGTATATGCAGGCCTATTGCTCTGCCAACAATCCAAACAACAACTCAGTCCGCTTCCAATACTCTTGGCCCATCTTCTGCATAGACTTGAGCATATCCGGGGTGGTATCGGCACTCTTTTGGATACGACCTGCGACATCAGCCAGCTGAGCCGGGTCGCCCAGCATGTGGGCAAGATAGATGGCGTCGAAGAAGAGTTGGATTTTCCAGTCGCGAATGGTATCAGAGCGAGAAGGGTCTTCGGAGACTTCTGGTTTATTCTTTTGTTCCTTTGACACGGAGACAGGCTCATCCTCCTTGCCGTCCTCCTTGTCCTCTTTAGAATCATCACCCTTCGTCTCTGGTGACTCGCTGGAATCACCTGGGGAGTTCCAGGTTTCCAGCTCATCTAAGGAAGATCCAATCAGAGCCTCGAGCTGTGTTTGTAGTGCCTCCTTCAAGACTCTCAAAGTCGACGGGTCCCACAAATCAGACCCGTTCTCTTCCATGATAGCGGCCAGGCGGCGGAGATATTTGAATGCACCTGGAGATGGTTGGACCGGAGCTGAAGGCTCACCTTCCCAGAGGGACCGGCCGGGAACAACCTTGAGCTTTTTTGTCTCTGGATGGGTGTTGGACGATGGGACAAAGGATAGGGAGCCAGCTTGGGCCACAATTTCGGCCGCGAGAAGTTTTTGCAGACCCGGCACAACATCGCTAGAGAAGAGGAAGTCATCTGCAATGAAGCCCGTGGGAATATCGCGACGAACGAGTCGAATGAGTCGCAGCAGGAATGTGGCCTTTTCGCTTTGACGCGATGACCCAAATGCATTGAAAGCCTCACCGAACGAAGCCTGGAGGGTGGTAAATGCTTGGCGCATTGCCGTTTGTAAAGAATCGGACAAAAGGCGCGGATCTTCCTCATTCAGTTGAGGGATAATGTTTATATCGTCATCTTCAACTTCACTACCGACCAGAACATCGGCCCATCTAAGCCGACGAAGTGAGTCGATAGACTGGTTCACGTCCCGAATAGAAGCGAGCCAAGATTGGTATTTAACCAGAACCGCGGATACGTCAGCATCACGACCAAGAAGCTTGTCAGTGACGGATTGCTTGAAAGTTGCAGCGCCGTTGGAGTAGTCTGCAGAGATGATATCCGAGTCCCAAAGTGACCCATTCGAGTTGTGATGTTTTGAAGTATCCCAGGATGAGATTGTTGCAGAAATGTGACTAGATAGTTCGTCGATTGTTTGCACTTTTGTGGCCAGGACGCGTTTGAGATTGTCATTGAAAACGCCACGAAGGCGCTCAAGCACGTTCACCGAGCGGTGCATAATATTAGATCCCCATGATTCCAGCCAAAGCTCAAAGGTTTCGGTACGTAGAGACAAAAGTTCCTGAAAGTCATTGCTATGAGTGAGACTCTTTTGGCAACCTTCGGCAAAATTCTCAAACGCAGTTAATGACCACTCCTTAATGGAATCCACACCTTCACTGCGGCTTAAATCACTCAGCTTGATATATGGCGTGAAGTTAATGACTCCTGGGGCTGCGAAGCGGCCAAGAATCTCGATCTCCAGACCATCCAAGCTACGAATTTCTGGGTCAGATAAGACTGGCCTAGACTTGAGTTTTGATAGCACATCGGTGAATTGGCGCGATCGCAGGATCTTGGAAGTATGGAGGGTGGCAACAAGAAGGCGGAGTGTCTTGGGAATGTTCTCGCGTGTCTTCTCTAGCTGGCTGGTGATGACGCCAAGGCGCACTTGGTGGAATTTGTGGATAGCTTCATCGGAGGAAGGGCTTGAAACGAGACAATAAGCGGCCAGTGATTCTATAATGGTTTCCTCAGTGGAATTTGAAGATGCCAGGCGCTTATCAATCCGATTCAAAAGGGTAAGACGTAAGGATGCCAGTTGCTTGCGGAGGTCATCGAGGAATGGCGGAGTCGATTCCTGCTGAGATATGGTCTTGTGTAGAAGACGCGAGACCACCAAGATCTTCGCGACTAATAAAAGCGAGGCGCGTCGTCGCAACAGTCGCGCAATTGATGTCGTACACCGGTGGAGGAGAGCCAGCTGGGCCCCAAACGTATACTTATCGGCATCTAAACAACGATGTTAGAAATTGCAGAAAGACATCACATAGATAATCAACCCCTATTACATACCCTTTTCCACTATATCCCGCTTCATCTGTCGCGCATGCTGGTGTTTCTTTTCAACCAAGCGCGGGTTGCATCGCCGTCCAACGTCAGACAATATCGAATCCACTTCCTGAATCTCTTTATTCATCACCACAATTGTTTCGGCCGTCCCAACAAGCTCTCGGTAGCGAGTACTATCAAACATCAAGATCAGTTAAATGTACCATATTATTCGACAAGAACCACTTACCCCACGAGAGCTCGGAGCTTCTCCTTATTGCTCGCGATGTCGCGGCGCAATTCCTGTTCCAACCGACGGACGGTAGGAATCGGGTATTGAAACGCATCTTGCCATGATTTCAGGCTCTGGGGATCTGGGGCCTCCGGGGCCATTTTGGCGACGATGTTGGGGTGAAGTTGATGGCCGCGTTGAGACCAAATCAGCCCGTTGCGGGCTTCCGAAGGCTTATGTCAGCTATCTTATCGGCAGGTGACTCAAAGAAAAAAGATCCCCGCGTTCTCAAGGTTCCCCTCGTCATTTTCAACTTTGGAATACCTTTCATTTTTGATTCATTGTTGACTTTCACAATGCCTCTAATGGAGTCTGAAGGTGTACCAATCGAGTCAACCTCGAATGGCCTTCCCGATCGCTTGCCATTCCCACCCATCACATACTCACATATTCTGCACTGCTCATATCACGATTGGCATCCGCGGTATGCCGATTAAATTGATCCCCAACTAAATTATTTTTGACTGTTTTCTCTAACAATCTCCCAGGTATCGGACCCTCACACCCAAGTCGAAGATAATCCCTTTGCCTGAACAATTCGTTTCATACCTCCGCGCCGATGGCATCCTCCTACCACCCGAAAACCGTCCCCGAACTGAAGACGATGACTACGATACATTCTCAGACGACGGCGAAGAGGAGGTAGACCCCTCACTAGAATGGCCAGAAGTTCACACACAAGTGAAAAGCATAATCTCCGACTTCCGCCAAGTCACCCCAAAACTCAACTGGAGCGCCCCGAAAGACGCAACCTTCATGTCCGCCACAAACGACACAAAATGCCAAACACCGAACGACATCTACCTCCTTCTCAAAAGCAGCGACTTTATCACACATGACCTCGACCACCCCTTTGATGACTGCGTTCCGGACCAGGAAAACGAAGATGATGGTGCTGCTGCTCCAGCCGATGGACCCCTCCCGGAGGTCCCTTACCACCTAGTCTTGCGCAAATACGTCAATTTCAATCCTTCACTTGAGTTCCGCTGCTTCGTCCGCAATCGCAAACTTCTTTGCATGTGCCAGCGGGATCAGAATCACTTCGATTTCCTATTCCCGATGCGCGATATGTTGCGCTCCCGCATCCAGTCCTTCTTCGATGAGAAGCTGCGCGATACATTTCCCGACCCGAACTTCACTTTTGATGTGTATATCCCCGCGCCGCACCAGCGTATCTGGTTGATCGATATCAATCCCTGGGCCCAGCGTACCGACCCGCTTCTTTTCAGTTGGCTTGAAATCTTGACCATGAAGGACCCTGTTGGTTTTGAAGAGGAAGAGGATGATATGGCTGGGGGCGTTGTGCGGATTTCTCTCCATGATGGCAGTGTTACGGAATTGGATGCGAATGGTCAGCCTGTGGATGACTCTGGTTCGTCTTCGGATGAGGAGGAGGATCTCGATAACGTCACTCCCAAGGGCCTGGATGGCGGAGAGGATGATGAATTCGCTCCCTTCCTACCGGAGTTCCGTCTCATCAAGAAGAATGACCCCGAGGCATACTCCTTTGCGACACCACAGTACTCGGCACATAAGGTGCCAAGAGACTTGGTTGATGCTTCACTCGCTGGTCCGGGTGGTATGAGTGAATTTATGGGTAAATGGCAGGATATTTTGCAGAATCAGATGCGCCAGCAACAAGCAGAGAGCAGTGATTCGGAATAAGGAAAAAAAAGTTCACACCATCTAGGGTGATGAATCCGCACTGGCAGGCATATATTTTGCTAATACTCTGTTGCGCGAATACTCATGATTGCATTTAATGGCGAAACTTAGGTAGACTCAAAATTTAATCCATTTTCACTTCCCCCATCACTAGTAGTAGCTATTAGTAGTAGTCTCTAGGTCGTCTTACTACTGCTACCTCCTAGGTGCTACTAGTAGTCACCAATGGATGCCCAGATTCGAACTTGAACCTTGAAGATCAATATCACAAAACTAACTGTGGACGTCAATGGATAAAGCTGTCTGTTAGAGCTCATACTAGTACTATAATTAAATGTATTCAAGTTGAGTTCCAAGGAACTGGCATTCAATTTCACGAGCTCACTCTTGCTGTTACCTACCTAGGTATTAATCCCTCTTTCTATTAAGGGGAAGGGGAATCAAAAAAGTCGAATACCTAGTGGAAACTACTAGTTAGTTAGTAGCTCCACAGTTCCTCGGGCCGAAGCTTCAACAATGATCTGCATAAACGCCTCGTGGGCGTAACGACGTTTTTTCACTGGGAAACCCCCAGAAGAACTATTGAACTTTGTAATGAATTCACGACACCTTAGGTGAACGCCTTGCCTCACACACTATAAGCAATAAATTACAAAACTACCAAAAGCATATGAAAAGCAATGGCCCACGGCTAAGAAATTTGCTAAATACTGCCAGGGCTCATTCAAGTTGATGATCTTATTATGTACTAGTCTATCTCAACGCCCCCGTTATGCCAAAATCCACAGAGAAATCATTTGCACCTTCCATTTGGTGTGTTGCGGAGTTACTAGTTATTCAGTCATTGATAAGCTGACCTGATGGTCTTTTTCTGTACGCGTGGTCATTTTCTAGAACATACCACGCAAACTTTCGATTTACAGTCTCCCAGGCTAACATCCTTCTTACATGTTGCTTCGGGACCAAGCTGAAGACAGATTAGACGTTGGATGCAGCTAGACAACGGGGAATATTCATACCATCGGTTTCGCAGCCATGGACAGGCCAGCAAGGGTGAGAATAACAAAAGTGAGACGCATAGTGAGAAAGGGACGATTGCGGAAATGATATGGCTTGTAATCAAAGGAAGATTATCATGTGAGAAAAAAAGAACTTTCAATATCATCGCTTTAAATGGGCGAACATACAGAGTCTTTTATTATACTTCGACCCCCGGGTTTATTTGGTTCGGGGATCCGAATCGACGGCAATAGTACAGGTTACAGAATAGTTCTGAAAACCTCCAAGGAACTTGATGGTTCCAAGGTTAGTATGAAATCCGAAGTATTTATGCCCAGGTACCATGTTACAACTGGAAAAAAGGATCAACTCGAGATATCATTCACTCTAATCATGAGTCTAACTCAATCATATACTTATTTACAAATCTACCAGGGAACCGAGCCTCCCCTCCTCCTCCCCGCAACCACAGCGACAACGACAGGACAGAACCCCGCACAAAGACCTACCTAAAGCTTATGCTTCTTCTCACCAGAAGCCAGTTTCCGGAATTCCTCCTGAGGAACCCCGCTAAGGAACCTCTCCAACCCCATAAACGCCTCAATCCCATTCTGACGATCAAGCAACTCCCGCTCCGGCCTCCGCACAAGCTCCTTAATCTTCAACAGACTAGACTGATTCAAATGCGTCCCAAGCCGCTCCTCAACCTCCTCAAGCACAAGCTTCAAAAAGCCATCCGAATCATCCTTCTTCCCGCTTGGCGCTTGGATAACCTTATTCACGAATCCAGTCGAAACAAGGTCCTCGCACGGAATCCGCTTGCTCATCAGCAGGGCCTCGTTTGCCTTTGCGATGCCGAGACGCTCGACGAAGGCGCGGCTAGCCCCGCCTTCGGCAACTAGGCCCAGTGAGCTGAAGGGCGTTAGGAGGAATGTGTGTGGTGTTGCGTAGATGAAGTCTGCGTGCGCGACTAGGGCTGCGGAGAGGCCGACGGCGGGCCCGTTTAGGGCTACGACGAGGATTTTGTTGTGGTTGTAGAATGTGCGGGTTACGTCTGTGTTGTTTGCGACGAAGCTTTTCACTAGGTCGCGGCGGACGTTGGAGTTTAGGTCGCCGTTGGGTCGGCTGCTGGTTACGTCTGCGCCGCTGGATGGAGAATGGGGTTAGCTGGAATAGAGTATATGGGAATCGGATTGGGGTGCATACGCGGAGAAGAATCGGCCAGTACCGGTTAGGACGGTGATGTAGATGTCATCGCGTTTTTCGACTTCTCGGAGACGTTCGCCCAACAGGTAGTACAGGTCTTGGTTTAGGGCATTGAGCTTGTCCGGCCGGTTGAGAGTGATAATCGCAACGCGGTCTTGGTAATTAACGGTAATGAGTTGTTCGTTGGACATCTTTGCTGATGATGAATGAATTGGACTTGATTTTTGGGGGAAAAGGTGAAGTGGAGATTAGTCTGAGGAAGAATGATATGAGGGCAACATCGAATAGAAATACAAATACAAAAAAGGCACGACCAAGTCAACCGGGGGTGTCGGCAAGTCCCATCGAGGCTCCCCCAAAGCGCCTTCCTTTTTTGCGGGGAGCCGAGGCCCGCGGCTGGTCAGGTGATATGGATGAGTAATCGTATTTGCATTAATCGATGCATCCCACACCGCCTGAATTTTCTGCCCGCCAACATCAGACAATTCGAGATCATCCGAGTCGGCTTGGATATAGGAACATTTGATATCTCCAATATTGCACAGAGACCCCGCATTCAAAGGTCTATCGCGACCCTCATTTCTGTCTTATCAGAACAATCAATCCTAAACCAGAGCCTCGGGTCCACACTTCAAACTTACCCACCATGTCGTCCTTCATCCGCAAACTCCAGGGCGGAAACCTGGAAGTCGTCAAGGTAAGCCAAGCCAAGCCAACGCCAGGCAACTCACTCTGCCGGCCAAACTGCACTGGAACTAATTCCTTCAATCCTAATGTTACCCGCATTTGCCCACCTCCCCCGCTAACATCGTCTCAGTTCGGCATGTACGTTCTCTTCCCAATCGGTTGGATGTATTACTTCGGCACAAACCTCGACGACCGCTTCCACACGAAGGACTTCTGGCCTACAGCCGAACAATCGCACAAGATCCCGATAGACAAGGAGGAGATTGATAAGGAGTTGGCTCGTATGCGCATGGTTGATGGTATCAAGCGGGAGCGAGCGGAGAAGGAGCGCCAAGCGCTGGCTGCTGTCCAGGCTCAGGCTCAGGCTCAGGCGCAACCGGAACAATAAGCTGATTTTGCGAAACTTTGCTTATCTTATCCGTGATCGAGTGTATGATACCATGGCCTCTTATTCAGAGGGCTCGCGGGGTAGCGGGGGAAAAATGTGTCTTGAAGTGAAGATAGAAGAGATTATCTGCTCGATCTGATCCCATTGCGCGACACGAAACGAGTTATGCGATTAGTCTCTGTTTTGGTTGCCTTTCTTCTGCACGAGTACGAGGTGCCCCACTTACGGGGGTGCTTTGGTGCGTCGTGGGAGTTACACTTGTTGTGTTGCGAACTATGTACTTGTACAACACTCTCCTCTGGGCATATTTGGCGTTTTTGGGGCTTGGGAAATTCCATTTGTTTATATTTTTTCGTCTGTGAACTGTCAATATCAATTTACTTGCAATATCTTGCATCATCCGAACCTTACTAGTAGTACCTAGTCCGAGTTGTGATTACTACTATCAAAGTCTACGTTTCTTTCCGAGTCTGCAACACAGAAGGGTATCCATTAAAGATAAAGCTGTGCGCTCATAAAAATATGCACATGATAATCATACAGTATAAGTTTGCCCAAAAGGCCATGGGGAAAAAAAGACACAAGATAAAGATAAAACATGACCATGAAATCCCCGCAACGCGGAGACAAATTATTATCGATAAGTCACAGTCCCAGCAACCGCCTCTGAAATGACAGAAGCGCCGGGAGCGATTCGGAAAGAGAAGGGGAAAAAAACGCCTTGGATGCGCCGGCCGGCCGGAATGGCATAAAGCATCATGGCAAAAGGGATCGAACTCCTCGGCTCAAACAATATTAATGGAGCGCGATGTTTCTGTATGTGCTTTCCTTTTTTTGGATAAGGTTGGTTTGACCCGTTTCCCTTTTGCCAGCAACGAGTATTTGGCTCTCTTACAATTCGGCGAGACGGTGTTGAGTTGTCGTGGCGGCCGCGGCGTTCTTGGCGGTTTCGTAGACGACTTCGAGTCCGGCTGTGGCACTCTCGCCGAAGACGGAGCTTATGGAGCCCAGACGGCTGGAGATGAAGGGTCGCTCGCCGGCCCAGTAGTAGTAGAGGTGGCCGTAGATCGAACGGAGGTGATCGGGAAGATAGATATAGATTCCAGCGGCGATCATAGTGATGAGGGTGAGAAGGAGGGAGTCTGTTGGAATTGATCATTAACAATTGGACATTGCAAAGGGGGGTTGGGGGAGAGGCATAGTGCCCTCTCATATCCCTGCTGATCCTGGAAACTGGCAGGGCTGACGATGATACGTACTGAAGATGAATTTTTCGGTCGGCGTCAACATGTAGATGGCAAAGGTCACCTCATACTGGTAGATCTTCAACCGAATCCAGCGCACGAAGCTTGTCAGGATCCAGAGTAGGAAAGTCATCGTGGAGGTATCGTAGGTGGGTGGGTTGTTCGGTCTTGTCTTTGCTGGTCCGGCCCCTGATCGGTAGTCGGCGGAGAATTGACGGTCTTGGCGCGGTGACTTTCGTTCAGGCTGAGATCTCAAGTGGCGGCCACAGAAAGAATCCAGTAGTTAACCAGATCGGTGGAAAGGTACTAGGACCGAGGTACTCTGTTAAATTGAGAACAGTTTTCGACGCGCGCAGGCTGTCGGGGAGACGGAAGTTGGCGGGAGTTGAATCGACGGGTGTTGGAGAATTCCCGAGGGCTTGAAAAGAAAGAATAGAGGGGATTAAAAATGCGATTTAGAGACCAAAGGTGGGAAG